ATTTTGTCTTTAACATAGGTGCTGGTGGCATCTTGTGGCACTTATTTTTGCACATTTAAAGAAATTTAGCAGTTTCATGTTTTGCTGATTTAATATTTTTTACTGTTTTTAAAAAATGTTTTTTTTTTTGGGGGGGGGGGGGGGGCACAAGTAGCTGGTCTTGCCTAGGGTGCAAAATAGTCTAGCACTGGTCCTGAGCTTCACCTATGGTAATTTAATGTACCATAGCTTGTTGCCATTCCATGGGCATGTGCAATTTTAGAGCGTGACATGCTAGTTATTTACTTACTCAGCATAACATCCTCTTTCATATTTAAAAAAAAAAATAGGTATTATATTGTGTTCATGTGCACTAAGATCCATTAGCGTGTATTTTTTCTCTGAAAATGTGTGTTTCATAAACCGCTGCACAAATATTGTGTGACATAAAAAAATTGTGACATCCACCATTTTATTCTCCAGGGACTTTGTTTAAAAAAATATGTATTGTTTGCTGGTAATTTTCTAGCAAAAAAAAAATGCTGATTTTATCACGTAACTGAACAATGTTGAATTGTATGAATTGACCCAGACGGCAAGTGGTTAAAACCCATTACTGGACAAACCCCCCCAACAATCTACTCTTCCCACTCATTCCCAAACCCTGTTTATAATTCCTTATAAAGCGGTTTTTAACTCTTTAATGCCTGAAGGTAAAACAAATCTTAATGCCTGAATGTATTGTATACAGTAAATAAATATACCTGCAAGTAGTAAACTTATACATCACTTAACCTCCCTAGCGGTATTCCCGAGTGTAGCTCGGGGTAAAATTTCTATACCAAAAGCGGTAACCCCGAGCTACACTCGGGCTTACCATGCGGCGCTGCTCTGGGGGTCCCTGCAGCACATACCTTGTCCTTCACTCCCGCGATGTGTCCCCTGCAGCGTCCCCGGCCATCTCTTCCGGCCGATGCCGGCATCCGGCTTCTGTGTTCCGGTCCCTGTGACGTCGGGACGTACGGGCGCCGCACGGGAAATTTGACATTTTTAAAAAATGTCATTTTTGCTGTCATTGCTGTTTCAATGCATTTCACATACATTTTGTCCCTAGTGCTTTGTCCTGTGCCCTGCCTGCATTTTGAATGTTCTTTCTGCCTGGAAACTGAGAAAAGTCCATGGCGTCCAAAAAGCGTCCCTTTACATCAAAAGCGGTTTTAGAGCATCGATAGTAAATCAGAACCACTTGCAGAATTGAGTGATAATGATTTGTGGGGAAATTCGTCATCAGACACTGAAAACGATTTTGCGACTTTGCTCAGCGATGTGCGAAGTTGCCTCTGTATTTCAAATTTCAGTGTTTTTGGTTTGATTATATTATTGAATTAAATTTATTATTATTATATTATTATTTTTTATGATTATTTATTAAATTATAATTGATGATTTCGTGTTTTCAAATTTTATCATATCCGGGATGTTTACTAGACTCTTGTTCGGACAGATTTCAGTGAGTTATTCCTAAAAATTACAGCCTACAATAAAAAAAATACATATTTCCATGCAAAAAAATGGTACCGCTTTCAGCACAAAAAATCGGAAAGAATCATACCGCCAAGGAGGTTAAAATGTATGCACTTAAACAAGAGCAGGATTTTTTATTTAAAGGAGAAGTACAGCCAAAGCTTTGTCTGTACTTCTCTTTTGGATCACAGGAGTGTAGTTCTGCACTCCTGTCACCTGTTTTAAGGTCTGCTGTCGGCTGACGTCACTCAGTCGGTCCAGGCTGGGGAAAGATCCAGACATCAAAGTTGCGATCCACCCCAAAGTCTGGAGTGGCACCTGGCCTCGCCCTGAGAGCCTGAGCCAACTGCTCTCTCCCCCCTCCACAGCCCAGCGCTCCAGTGAGTGCTGGAGGGGCAGGGCAGATAGCAGTGACTGACAGTCCAGCTCTCTGCTCAGAGCGCAGAGGAGAACTCATCGATCATGTGATCAGCCCTTAGAGATGGCGGGGGACATCCACCTAGGTAAGCATAAACAGGGGGGGAAAAAAGGCATGCTTCTCTTTTAAAGTAGTATTAAACTCAAAAAGCAAACATTTATTATATTGCAGCTTACCAATTCTTAGATGTGATGGCCACGTTAGTTCTTTTTTTCTAGCCTTTGTTTCCTTTATTTTCACCTGGTGATCTGGGCAGTAAGTTTGTTGTTTTTCAACAGAACAACCTGTTCTGCAGATGTAGCAGTTATAGTGTTTAGACAAACAATTTATTACTGACAGGTGTGCTTACAATGGTCAGATTTTATTTATTTGTGTACAACCTTTCTCCCAAAAGGAAAAAAAAGTTTGTTGTAACTGTTTATAAAGTGGAGTTCAGCCTCAATTTGTTAGTGTGTAAATCTGCTAGTGCAGTGGTTCTCAACCTTTCCAATGCCGCGACCCCTTAATACAGTTCCTCATGTTGTGGTGACCCCCAACCATAAAATTATTTTCGTTGCTACTTCATAACTGTAATTTTGCAGTGGGAGGACTAGTGCCACATCATTGGTGTCAGTGGAAGGAGTAGTGCCCATCATCACTGATGTCAGTGAGATGAATAGTGCCCCATCGTTGGTGTCATTGGGGGGAATAGTGCCCCATCGTTGGTGTCAGTGGGGGGAATAGTGCCCCATCGTTGGTGTCAGTGGGGGAGGAATAGAGCCCCAACGTTGGTGTCAGTGGGGGGAATAGTGCCCCAACGTTGGTGTCAGTGGGGGGGAATAGTGCCCCATCGTTGGTGTCAGTGGGAGGAATAGTGCCCCATCGTTGGTGTCAGTGGGGGGAATAGTGCCCCATCGTTGGTTGTCAGTGGGGGTGGGAATAGTGCCCATCATTGGTGTCAGTGGGGGAATTAGTGCCCCATCGTTGGTGTCAGTGGTCAGTGGGGGGAATAGTGCCCCATCGTTGGTGTCAGTGGGAGGAATAGTGCCCCATCGTTGGTGTCAGTGGGGAGGAATAGTGCCCCATCGTTGGTGTCAGTGGGAGGTAATAGTGCCCCCATCGTTGGTGTCAGTGGGAGGAATAGTGCCCCATCGTTGGTGTCAGTGGGGGAATAGTGCCCCATTGTTGGTGTCAGTGGGGGAAATAGTGCCCCACCGTTGGTGTCAGTGGGAGGGAATAGTGCCCCATCGTTGGTGTCAGTGGGAGGAATAGTGCCCATCGTTGGTGTCAGTGGGGGGAATAGTGCCCCATCGTTGGTGTCAGTTGGGGGAAATAGTGCCCCATCGTTGGTGTCAGTGGGGGAATAGTGCCCCATCCGTTGGTGTCAGTGGGAGAATAGTGCCCCATCGTTGGGGCACTATTTTCCCTCTCTCTCGGTGGTGTCAGTGGGGGAATAGTGCCCCATCGTTGGTGTCAGTGGGGGGAATAGTGCCCCCATCGTTGGTGTCAGTGGGGGAATAGTGCCCATCGTTGGTGTCAGTGGGGGGAATAGTGCCCCATCGTTGGTGTCATTGGGGGGAATAGTGCCCCATCGTTGGTGTCATTGGGGGGGGAATAGTGCCCCATCGTTGGTGTCAGTGGGGGGGGGGAATAGTGCCCCATCGTTGGTGTCAGTGGGGGGAATATAGTGCCCCATCGTTGGTGTCAGTGGGGAGGAATAGTGCCCCATCGTTGGTGTCAGTGGGGGGAAAGGATAGAGCCCCATCGTTGGTGTCAGTGGGGGGAATAGTGCCCCATCGTTTGGTGTCAGTGGGAGGAATAGTGCCCCAACGTTGGTGTCAGTGGGGGGGGGAATAGTGCCCCCCTACGTTGGTGTCAGTGGGGGGAATAGTGCCCCATCGTTGGTGTCAGTGGGGGGAATAGTGCCCCATCGTTGGTGTCATTGGGAGGAATTAGTGCCCCCATCGTTGGTGTCAGTGGGGGGGAATAGTGCCCCATCGTTGGTGTCATTGGGGGGGAATAGTGCCCCCATCGTTGGTGTCAGTGGGGGGAATAGTGTTGCCCATCGTTGGTGTCAGTGGGGGGAATAGTGCCCCAACGTTGGTGTCATTGGGGGGGATATTGCCCCCAACGTTGGTGTCATTGGGGGGAATAGTGCCCCATCGTTGGTGTCAGTAGGGGGGAATAGTGCCCCATCGTTGGTGTCAGTGGGGGGGAATAGAGTGCCCCATCGTTGGTGTCAGTGGGGGGGAATAGTGCCCCATCGTTGGTGTCAGTGGGGGGAATAGTGCCCCATCGTTGGTGTCAGTGGGGGGGAAATAGTGCCCCATCGTTGGTGTCAGTGGGGGGGAATAGTGCCCCATCGTTGGTGTCAGTGGGGGGGAATAGTGCCCCATCGTTGGTGTCAGTGGGGGGAATAGTGCCCCATCGTTGGTGTCAGTGGGGGATAGTGCCCCATCGTTGGTGTCAGTGGGGAATAGTGCCCCATCGTTGGTGTCAGTGGGGGGAATAGTGCCCCATCGTTGGTGTCAGTGGGGGGAATAGTGCCCCATCGTTGGTGTCAGTGGGAGGAAGGAATAGTGCCCCACGTTGGTGTCAGTGGGGAGGAATAGTGCCCCATCGTTGGTGTCAGTGGGAGGAATAGTGCCCCAATCCGTTGGTGTCAGTGGGGAGGAATAGTGCCCCACCGTTGGTGTCAGTGGGGGGAATAGTGCCCCATCGTTGGTGTCAGTGGGGAGGAATAGTGCCCCATCGTTGGTGTCAGTGGTGGGGGAGGGATAGTGCCCCATCGTTGGTGTCAGTGGGAGGAATAGTGCCCCATCGTTGGTGTCAGTGGGAGGAATAGTGCCCCATCGTTGGTGTCAGTGGGGGGAATAGTGCCCCCATCGTTGGTGTCAGTGGGGGGGAATAGTGCCCCATCGTTGGTGTCAGTGGGGGGAATAGTGATAGCCCCAATCGTTGGTGTCATTGGGGGAATAGTGCCCCATCGTTGGTGTCAGTGGGGGGAATAGTGCCCCATCGTTGGTGTCAGTGGGGGGAATAGTGCCCCATCGTTGGTGTCATTGGGGCGGATAGGAATAGTGCCCCATCGTTGGTGTCAGTGGGGGGGGAAATAGTGCCCCATCATTGGTGTCAGTGGGGGGATAAAAAGTGCCCCATCATTGGTGTGGGTGGGAGGAATAGTGCCCCATCGTTGGTGTCAGTGTGGTGGAGGGGGAAATAGTGCCCCATCGTTGGGTCAGGGGAGGGGGAATAGTGCCCCATCGTTGGTGTCAGTGGGGGGGAGGAAATAGTGCCCCATCTTGGTGTCAGTGGGGGGGGAGGAATAGTGCCCCATCGTTGGTGTCAGTGGGGGGGAGGAATAGTGCCCCATCGTTGGTGTCAGTGGGGGGGAGGAATAGTGCCCCATCGTTGGTGTCCAGTGGGGGGGGAGGAATAGTGCCCCATCATTGGTGTCAGTGCGGGGGTATGGGCGGGGGGGGGAGGAGGGAATCGTTGGGAGGGGGGGAATGATGCGGGGCAACTAGTGCCCCATCATTGGTGTCAGTGGGAGAAATAGTGCCCATGATTGTTGGTATTAGTCCACACAAATGATGGGGCACTATTCCTCCCACTGACACCAATGATACTTACCTTGCTGACTCCGTGCTCCAGCCTGGGCTCGCTCTCTCACTTACCTGTCAGCTGTCTTCTTCTCTGGCCGCTCTCCTCTCACTTACTCCGGCAGTTCCCCTCGATCTTCTTAGATCTATGCGCGCTGCCGCTCGGCTCCTCCTCTCCCAAGCTCCACCCTCCTCGCCGGTGATTGGCTGCCTGTGTGCCTCTCCTGAGCTACAGTTCCGGTGGCCAATCAGCAGCGAGGAGGCGGAGTTTGTTGAGGGATCCCGGGAGCCGGTAGGTGTGGCCAGGTGACAGGGCAGCGTGTCATCCCGCCCACAACATCGACTGAGTCAGAGGGAGCGCGGTGTCTCGGTTCCTAAGACCATCGGAAATATGTGTTTTCCGATGGTCTTAGGCGACCCCTGGGGAAATGGTCGTTCGACCCCCAAAGGGGTCGCAACCCCCAGGTTGAGAACCGCTGTGCTAGTGGATCTAACATTCCTTCCGCCCAGATTAACAAAGGTTCCCCTATGTTCCTTTCATCCAGAGTGGGGCACTCTAATACAGGAGGTGTGTTACTTAATGGATCGCCAAGTAAAAACAGAGGGGAAAAAAAAAAGCATTAAAAAGGAAAACTAATGCAAGCCACCACCTCTAATGATTCACAAGTTGCAATAAATTTAATTTTTGCTTTTGGTTTTATTTATTTATTTCAGGTGCTTATATAGCGCAGTCAATTTTACGCAGCGCTTTACATACATTTTTGTACATTCACATTCAGTCCCTAACCCTCGAGGGGTGTACAATCTAAGGTTTAAACTGGTTTATATAAAAATAATTTCCTTGGGGGTTCATTAAGGGACACAAGATCATAAGAAATTTTAAGACATATGGGTTAATACTGCTGCTTATAGGCGAATTGGACACTAGCAAACATAAAAGCTGTTAGCCAGACAGTCTTTTTGGAAAAAATAGCAGCAGACGTGGATAATAAAAAGAGAGGGTTGGGGACCTGTGTCCCTTAAAGGACTCCCAAGAAAAGGATTTTTACAGTAAGTCAAAAATCCTATATAAATAATATGCTTAAGTGATAATAATAAATAATAAATAATAATTCTTATACCCACCAAAATTACAACCATAAAGTCCTGTATCCACAAATCAAAAATTAAAGTCCCCCTTTCAAACAAAAATTATGTCCAAAAATATTGTCCAAAAATAGTGATAGATTCTTCACAAGTTTTGTGTGAACTTGATTTTACCTCAAAAAAACAGAAATAAAAACCACATAGTGCATTATTCTTAATATATAAATATCATATAACTCATCCAGTGATAATTCACCAAAGTGAAAAACGTGTAAACAGCAAAGATGTGCCAATACACTATTTATAGTGAAAAAAACTGTGTAGGTGAATCACTCTTTAAAGTGCTTATGCCACACACCTAAATCACATCTACTGCAGTAAGGAGTGGATACCCTTACCAATGTGTTTATCATTAAAGGCTTTAGATAAACATCCCCAAGTAGGCTGTATGATGGGACGAGTAAACAAATAATATTCTGCCAGTATCCTCACTTTCTCACCTCCTCATAATTCAATGTGGATCCATCCACACTATTTCCTCAGACCATTTTCATCACAAAACGCCATCCTGATAAATACGATATATATATACACACATAAAAGAAGTATATAGTGTAATACCGCCACACATTCGAATCACAAAATTTATTGGTGCTGCTTACAATATCAAATCTTTCTCATCGCATGTTTAAAAGTATGAAAAACCTGCATGCCGTACGTCCAGGAGAGTCCAAACCGCTATCCACAGTCTTACTTCCACTCTCTGCAATGGCCGCCGCTCCACTTCCGGTTTCTCGTTTGCGTCTGACGTCACCTCCCTTCAATGGAAGCCCTCCTTGCTGCTGTCCCTGATCCTTTTTCATATGTGTGGTTTGTCTGTGCTCACCTACCTACTATAAGGAGTTTTCAACTCCTTATACAAGTGGATTCATTAAAACTTGAAACATACATGGAGGTACGTCATATTTTATAAACCTATGTATGTGGAAGGCATAGTAAGATCATCCTAACAGGAAGCGGAGGAGGAGAGGAGGATAAAGCTTCTTTGGAGGATTTCCAGTTTATATATAAATATATAAAAGGCGTGAGTTTCATCTACTGTTGGTAAGGGTATATTGGCCTTACTCACTAGAAGTGTCACATGTGGGAGGAATCTCACTAAGTAGATCACTTCATGATTTTATTATTTATGAGCACAAGTGTCTTATTACCTTTCCCTTTTGGAAGGTTCTCACAAGTGTTAAATAAATAATTTTTCACTTAAAGGTTGCACAATCGTTTGATACACATTTGTGTGTGCATGTGTTTTATATATATACATATATATATATATATATTCATAAATTATTTTTTTTTTTTTTTTTTTTTTTTTTTTGTGATATTATGGTAATGCACTATTGTGAGTTTCTTTTTCTTTGAGGTTCTTCACAACAATCAACACTGCAAGAAATATACTTTTTCATATATTTTTTTTAATTTTATATTTTTTTTATTTTTTTAATTTATATATTTTTTCTTTATTGAGACACTGGACTTTATATTATCGGATTTAAATCACAGAGACACTGGATTTATGATTTTGTAGAAAGTATATGGGGAATATTTTTTTTGTTGTTACATCAATAGTTGATTTATTGAAAGAGGGTAAATTCCTGTTTTGGATCTATTGATTTGAGTTTAACCTTACCATTAAGCCTGTAGGCTAAGCAAAAGCTGCCTGATTCCACCTAGAAATGGTGGAACAAGAGGCAGTGTGTCCCTTACTTGGACCGTCAAGAACAACAAAAAAGGGAGCTAGTCAGTCCGAAAGAAGATGTAGCAGAGATAAACTAGAAGTGCTTGAAACACCTTAGTAAGGACAAAGGTCCTTACTAAAGCGTGAAGGCCGAGCATTTTTTAAAGAAGACTTGATAGAGTTCAGATTTGTTCCTTGATCGTACTTAGGGCCAATTGTTGCTCCAAACCAGATTGGAGAAAGGTCAAGATGTATACTATACTATACTATACTATGGAGTATTTCCTTGGATGAAACTTCCTTGACCCGCTCTATGTAAAATAAACTTTCCAAATGCTATGGGTAGACCTTGCAAGAGGTGGATTTTCTAGCTTTTCAGAGAATAGATATAACAAAATCAGATACGTCTCTATCCTCTAGGACTCTGTCTTCAACAGCAAAGCCATCAAAGCCAGCAACCATAAAGCAGGGTGGTAAGCTGGCTCTTGGGACAGAAGATCTGGACAATCTGGAAGAGCCACTGGGAGTCTGCCAGGAGTCTGATGAGGTCTGAGTACCACATTGGCCTTGGCCGATTTGGTGCAAAGAGAATTACCAGTATGCCTACCAACTCAATCCTGTGGAGGAAGCATGAGCTGCAAAGCAGGAAAGGCATAGATCAGGTTGAACTGATCCCACAGAGTCATCAGAGCATCCATAACTGTAGCCAGAGAATTTTGAACCTGGGAAAAAAACTTGCTAATTTTTTGTTGAATCTAAAAGCCAGGAGATCCATGTCCAGCATTTTCCACCAGTGAAAGAGGTTTTAAACATTTCCAGGTGAAGATCACTCTCCTGAATCCAGATGGTAGTTTGTCTGCCAATTTTATTGTTTTACATGCCTGGAATGTGCAGGGTGGACAGAACTACAATGTAAAGTTTTGTCCAAGTCAGAATTGAGTCGGCTTCTCATTGAGCTGTAATCCTTCAGGTTCCTGCCTTATAATTGATGTATATACCACTGTTGTGGCATTGTCCAGTTGAATCTGGTTTAAATGGACTTGCAGTTGCGATGTCTTAAAGGGATAACCAAATGACCCGTTGCTCTAGTATGTTGACTGAGAGACAAGCTTCCTCAAACTAGCGAAAGGAAAGATTTCCCTGAATCCATGGCTGGACCTGTGAGCCATCAGGCTGCAGACAACCAAGTCCTGGGTGTCAGGCGCTTCGGTGAATCCAGAGACTACAGCTTCTTGTCCCACACAGCCAGAATGTGAAGTTGCAACAGTCTGGAGTGCATCTGGGCAAACTAGCTTGCCTTGAAGGAGGCCACCTTCAGGTTGAGAACTCTCATGCAAAAGTAAAGAGTTGCATGGCTCATGGACTACAATGTCCAAACATAAGATCAGAGAGCCAGAAGTTTGCCAGGAGCAGTATCTAGGACAAGACCTAGATACTCCAAGTGAGTCAGTTCCAGGGATGACTGCTGAAGGTTCGGAAAGATTCAGGATCCAACATAACCTGAGTCTAAAGAGTCCTTTCTACATTAACTGACAGGGTCTGAGGCAACTGTTCTCTCAGTGGGAGGATGTCAAGATATCCCACAATGGGAACAAACTGTAAGCAAAACAGAACAAGCAACAGGGCCAGCACCTTGGTGAAAACTTAAGGTGCAGTGCACAGACCAAAGGGAGGGGCTATAAAATGATAGTTTTGTGTGCCCACAGCAAACTGCGATTAGCACTGATGCGCCGAAAAGATAAGGACATGTAAGCAACCATCCTTAATGTCCACAAGGGCCAGAAAATCTTGTGAAAGGAGAGAAGCAATGACTGACCTTGTGCATTTCACATGGAATTTTTTCACTTGAATAAACACATTGAGTGCTTTTAGATTCAGAATTAGGTGAATGTCTCCTTTAGGTCTGGTAACTGTGAATAGGTTTAAGTAGAAACCATGTAGAGAAAAAGAGAAAGACACAGTGTCTCTAATTGTAGACTTGTAGACAGTTTAATAGTGGTAAAACAGAGGTTAGGCCAATCATATTT